AAAAAAAAAAAAAAAAAAAAAAAAACTTTCATTGCAGTTCATGTCTGTTTATTCCTCCAAATGAATGTAGGAATACTAATTATTTTATTCTGGTTCTGAGCAAAGCAGAATCCAATCCTAGGGGCTTGTCGAGAGCCATTTTCCTGGAGCTATGGACCTTCCCAGGTCCTTGCTGGTGTTTCCAGGGCCCAGGATCACAGGGCCAGTCCATGACCCCAGCAGGTTTAACCCAAGGCTGTGGTTGTTAAAACACACATACCCCTAGCCTGGGCCTCCACAAATACCTCTCCTCCCAGAATCGTTGTTTTTTTTTTTTTTTGACAGATTCTTACTATGTTGCCCTTGGTAGAGTGCCATGGTGTTGTCACAGGTCACAGCAATGTCCAACTCTTGGGCTGAAGTGATTCTCTTGCCTTGGCCTCCCAAGTAGTTGAGACTACAGGTGCCTGCCACAACACCCAGCTTTTTTGTTGTTGTTGTTGCAGTTGTCATTGTTGCCTTAGCTGGCCCGGGCTGGGTTCAAACCCACCAGCCTCATTATATGTGGCTAGCATCCCACCCATTGAGCTGCGAGTACCACTCCCTTTTTTTGGGGGGACAGGAGTCTCACTCAGTCACTTAGCAGTAAAGAACCATGGCGTCATAGTTCACAGCAACCTAAAACTCTTAGGCTCAAGTGATCCTCTTATCTCAGCCTCTGGAGTAGCTGGGACTACAGGTGTCCACACAACACCTCGCTAGTTTTTCTATTTTTTAGTAGAGATAGAGTCTCGCTCTTGTTCAGGCTGGTCTGAACTCCTAAACTCAGGCGATCCACCTGCCAAACCTCCCAGAATGTTAGGATTACTGGCATAATCCACTGTGCCAGGCTGGTCCCTCCAGAATTTTCTCATGATTTTCCCACCAGCCAAGAAGAATTAGAGTTTTACACAGTGTGAAGTCTGTATTACCCAAGGTGTTCTTTTTTTTTTTTTTACCTCCTAAATATATTATTGACAATGGAAAGAAAGATCTTTTAAACAAATTGTGCTGGAACAGCTGGATATCCATATGGAAAAAAATCCAAAGCAAACCTAGACCCCTACCTCACATCATACACATTAAGTTACACTATACACAAACTTTTTTTTGCAGGTTTTTTTTGGCCGGGGCTGGGTTTTGAACCCTCCACCTCCAGCATATGGGGCATATGGGGCCAGTGCCCTACTCCTTTACTCCTTTGAGCCACAGGCACTGCCCTTTTTTTTTTTTTTTTGAGACAGGGTCTTGTTCTGTCACCCATGGGTAGAGTGCAGTAGTATCATCGTAGCTTACTGCAGTCTCACACTTGGACTCAAAGAGATCCTCCTGCCTCAGCCTCATGAGGAGCTGGGACTACAGGCACACCCCACCACTCCCAGCTAGTTTTTTTTCTATTTTTAGTAGAGATGGGGATCTTGCTCTTGCTCAGTCTGGTCTTGAATTCCTGAACTCAAGCCATCCTCCCGCCTCAGCCTACCGGAGTGCTGGGATTACAGGCATGAGCCACTGTGCCCCGCCCACAATCATTTGTATTTCTGATGGATCATAGGTTTTACCAACTGCAAAACCTAAAACTAAAAAGTGTTAGAAAGAAAGTATGGAAGAACTTGGTGACTTGCAGGTGGATAAAAGTTCTTAAGACACAGAGGCTGTGGCTCGGCACCTGTGGCTCAAGTGGCTAAGGCACCAGCCACATACACCTAAGGTGGCGGGTTCGAATCCCCAGCCCGGGCCCGCCAAACAACAATGATGGCTGCAACCAAAAATGGCCAGGCGTTGTAGCCTGTAGTCCCAGCTACTTGGGAGGCTGAGGCAGGAGACTCGCTTGAGCCCAGGAGTTGGAGGTTGCTGTGAGCTGTGATGCCATGGCACTCTACCCAGGGGGATAGCTTGAGGCTCTGTCTCAAAAAAAAAAAAAAAAAAAAGACACAGAGGCTGTCACAAGAGAAAACTGACAAATATAATCTTACAGCAAATACACATCGCTTTGTGAGACCTGGGTCACTTTTTCCCTCTGCCCAGACTTTGCAAATAGAGCTGGGAAGGCCTGTGTTGGTTGAGACCCACAGGGGCAAGGTCTGGGGTCAGCCTGCCTTGACCCCAATTGTTGAAGAGGAACCCTGAATTTCCTCATCTCTGAGCACTCCTCAAGGGCTGCCTCCGTTGCAGGAAAGAAGACGTCACAGGCTACTTCCCGTCCATGTACCTGCAAAAGCTGGGACAGGACCCGGCTCAGGCTCAACGCCAGATCAAGGGCCGAGGGGCGCCACCGCGCAGGTGAGCAGGTTCCCCCCGACGGGCAGGGCGGGGCGGGGTAGACACGGTTTCGCTCAGTCGGTGCAGGCCCTAGATTGCCAGTGGTAGGACGTGGGAGAAAGGGCAGCTTGGCGGGAGAAGCAGAACCTTCACTGGGTCAAGTGACTGGACGTCCCTTCCCGCGATGCCCAGGACCCCTGGGGATGGTCGTGAGAACGGTGGCAGGCCCTGAAGGCTCCCTGGGGAGGAGGGGAGACGGGAGCAGGGGTCCCTATGGGGAAGGGGGCAGCCGCGTGTTGCACTGGCCTGGCCACCCCCCACCACTCCCCACTTCCTTGGGCCAGTCTTTGGACCTCGGGGTTGCCCATCCAAGACCCGGCAGGCAGGGCTCGCCCGGGCTCTGATGACGCCCGGTCTCATTGGCCAGGTCATCCATCCGCAACGCGCAAAGCATCCACCAGCGGTCGCGGAAGCGCCTCAGCCAGGACACCTACCGCCGCAACAGCGTCCGCTTCCTGCAGCAGCGTCGCCGCCCGGCGCGGCCAGGGCCGCACGGCACCGGGAGCCCGCTGCGTGAGTGAGGCTGTGGCGGAGACAGCCGGGGGGTGAGGGTGGGCCATCGCTGGGGTGGAGTTATTTGGAGAGGCGGGACTTGGGGAGGACCGGGCCGGGAGGGAGAGGCGTGGCTGGGGCGGGGCCTCTGACTCGGCCGCGCCGTCCGCCCGCAGAGGAAGAACCTGAGACCCAGCGTCCGAAGCCACAGCCGGCTGTGCCCCCGCGGCCCAGCGCCGACCTCATCCTGACCCGCTGCAGCGAGAGCACCAAGAGGAAGCTGGCGTCCGCAGTCTGAGGTTGGGGCGCAGGCCTCAGATAGCGCCGGGCCCCTCCGCCAGCTCCCGCCCCTGTCCCTGTACATATGTGTACTATATAGCCTGAGCCCTCACCCCACATGGCTCTCAGCCACCCTCAATAAATGTTGCTTGACACAGAGACTGTGCAGAGACTCAGGGTATTTCTAGAACGAGGAAAAGGGACTGTGAACTCAGCTGGAGGAAGTTGCAAGGGTCCAGATCTGGTTGCATACTGCCCTGGCCTTGGTCAAGAACAGGTTTCACAAGGCCAAGTGCAAGAGGAACTTCTGTTCCCTGCTGACTGAACAGAAACCACCTGCTCCCACTCTGGCGAAAAGTCCTGAAGATGGGTGGACACAGTGCAGGGAGCCAGCCCTGTCTCATAACAGGACCTTGTTTAGCTGGGGACAAATACTTTGTAATTTAGGTATGGGGGTATTCTCTGATTATTAACTGAGACCCTGCCCCAGTTAGGAAATTGAACCAGAAAGCACTCACTGATAGAAAATATTCATGCTGGGCAGCACCTATGGCTCAAGGAGTAGAGTGCCGGCCCCATATACCAGAGGTGGCAGGTTCAAACCCAGCCCCAGCCAAAACTGCAAAAACAACAGAAAATATTCATGCTACCAGTCCATGGCCTCAAAGTCTTTGCTGGCCAGTCTTTCCTAAAATGCAAGAGACACTAAGGTGCAGAGTGGAGCTGCAAATCTTTCTAAAGATGCAGCTTGTCAGGAAGGCCAGAGTTCCCCTCCTACACAGATGTTAATGTGAGGACAAGCAAAGTCCATCCCCTTAAAGATGAGAGAGAATTGACAAGTGTATAGATGCTAGTCAAAAGAATAATCTGGCCAGGTGCAGTGGCTCGCTCCTGTAATCTTAGCACTTCAGGAGGTCGAGGTGAGCTCAGGAGCAGGAGACTACCCTGAGTAAGAGTGAGACACTAGCTCTACTAAAAATAGAAACACTAGCTGGGCGCCTGTAGTCCCAGCTACTTAGGAGGCTGAGGCAAGATTAGTCAAGCCCAAGAGTTTGAGGTTGCTGAGTTATGACACTATGGCATTCTACCCAGGGTGAGAGAGTCCATCTTAAAAAAAAATAATAATAATTTGTCAAAGGATTTGAGAAAGGCCTTGAGAAAAACCACTGGAGTCCTTAATTATAATCTTAAAATTTTTCATTTTGCAGACTTGTTTGCTGCAAAAATCCACTGTTCAGAGCTGTGGGAAAATTAACCAATCCCAACCCCTATGCTTATTCAGTTATAACATTTTTATTGAATACAGTATAAAATATTTATTTTCATAATTCTTCATTTCATTAGTTTCCAAGATAAAGTCCTGATTAAACATTTCCCCCTTTTTCTGTATTTCTCTATATTCGCCTTGAAGTGGCCTTGTGCAGGCACCAGTGTTGCATGCCAGGAGGGGGCTGGAGGTGGGTGTGGTGGCCAGGAAGTCCCCCAGGGAAGAACAGGGAGGAAAAGTGTGGGTGTCTGAAGGTGCTGGCTCTGAGTAAGCCCCACCTCAACTGCTCAGCCCACCGTTTTCTTGAGGCCAGGCATATGGTGGGTATGATATGTCATTTCAAGTTCTGAAAACAACCCTGTCAAGCAAATTTTTATGGATGAGGAAATCAAAGCCCAGGAAGTTTAGGTGACTTGCTTAAAGCAATATGGCAAGACGACGGTTGTCCTGAGAGGTGGTGCTGGGAAGTAGAGTGGGGCTTTTCTTTCTGATGTCAAAACCATACTGGATCCAGAATGCTGTCCTGACCCCCAAAGTGCTCATGATCTGTGGGTCAGGCCTCTTGGCTGGCACTGTAGCTAAGGGACACTCAGAGGAGGCGGTGAGGCCACAGATGATGCCAGGCCAAGTGAGAGGGGCCCAGCTTCCAGTCACTTCCTTGGAGGAGTAACTGGCTCCTTCCTTGCCTATTCTAGAAACCCACCCTTCCCACTCCTGGAAACTGATAGAGACCTGCCAAACCCAGCCCCCAGCTCCAAGGCTGGACCCCTTCCCATCTCCCCAAGCACACCACTCTCAAATGTCTGTTCGTAGATAGCCCACTGCTGTGACCAAAACCCACCCTCACCCATCCAGTCATTCCCACAATTTTAGCTCACCCCATGAGTGACAGTGATGGTCAGTGGCCAGCATACCTCAATCTGCATCACACATTCCAAGATACAGAAGGAATCAAGGGGCCTTAGGAACTGTTTCAAAGCAGAACAACCCTGTGAATGGTCCAGCCAACAGAAGGTAGCCTAGACTGAGCCTTGCTTTCCTCACCTATCAGGGAGCCACCCCTCCCCGAAAGATGTTGAGTGGAGACGCTGCATGGTAGATACCTACAAGTCTCTGTTTCAGGCACAATGGCCACTCAGAAATAAATCATATGGCCTTGAGTCACACAGGCCTGGGTTTGAATCTTGTATGATTTTGGGCAAGCCACCCAACCACCCTGAGCCTGAGCTGCCTGTCTATAAATTAAAGGGCTGATCTTCTCCCACTGCAGGGCCAAACTTCTGAAATATGGTGTTGACGTGTGCTCAGGTGCACCAAGAGCTGGGTGGCCCCTCCAGTCCCATCACAAACCAGCCCACCCTGGGTTCTTTCTCCAGGAAGTGATCTTCTGCCTTACCAGCTCTGTTTGCAGTCAACACCTAAAGACGGGAACTGCCTGGGGTGGGCCCAAACCCCTGTGTCTAAAGATAGGAGCTGGGGCTGGGTGCCAGCCTGGAAAGTGGTTTCTCCCTCCTGCATCTCCCTTCGCTTTTCTTTGTGGTTGTTGTTGAGACAGAGTCTCAAGCTGTTGCCCTGGGTAGAGTGCCATGGCATCACAGCTCACAGCAACCTCCAACTCTTGGGCTTAATCAACTCTCTTGCCTCAGCCTCCCAAGTAGCTGGGAATACAGGCGCTTGCCACAAACCCAGCTATTTATTTATTTATTTATTTAGGTTGTAGTTGTCATTGTTGTTTGGCAGGCCCAGGCTGGATTCGAACCTGCCAGCTCTGGTATATGTGGCTGTGCCTTAGCTGCTTGAGTTGTAGGCGCCGAGCCCAGACATTCATTTATACACACTCATTGGCACTGATTATGGACATACGAGTATATGAGAGGGAAGGAGAGAAACTGAATAAATGATAAAACTGGAATAGAATGTTAACAAATATGGGTGGGTGTGGTAGCTCACAACTGTAGTCCTAGCTACTCAGGACGCTAAGGCAAGAAGATCGTTTGAAACCAGGACTTGGAAGTTGCTATGAGGTAGGCTGAGTTCCCGCACTTTAGCTAGGGTGACAGAGTGAGACTCTTGTCTCAAACAAAACAAAACAAAACAAAAACCCTAAACAATAAGAGAATATGGCTAACAGTCCTATGAGTCTTTTCACACTACTTTTTTTGCAACTTTTGTATGAATTTGATGTTATTGCAAAAAAAATTTAAAAATGAGACAACCTCAATTTGCTTAGTCTTTTATAGCCAATATGTTATTTGTTTGGGGGATTTCTGTTTTAAGCCTGACTTTTCTAGCTTCATATGAAGTCAGAGAGAGTGAATGTATGATGGGAATACGTATCCAACTATTTCTCCTTAAACTTGGAATCATGTTAGACCACGTGGGATACCAGGCAGATGGGGTGTGTATGTGTATGTGCATATACTTCTCAGTGAATATACATATCTGTCTATTTCTGCATTGATTGATTTAAACTTGGAGATACCACCACCATGCCTATGGGGGGGAGCAGGTAATGTGAAAGAATGAAATAGGCCAGGGCTTGGCGCCTGTAGCTCAGTGGTTAGGGCACTGGCCACATACACCTAGGCTGCCTGGTTTGAACCTGGCCCAGGCCTGCTAAACAACGACAACTTTAAGAAAAAATAGCCGGATGCTGTGGCAGGCTTCTGTAGTCCCACCTACTTGGGAGGGTGAGGCAAGAGAATTGCTTAAGCCCAAAGAATTTGAGGTTGCTGTGAGTTGTGATGCCACAGAGCTCTACTGAGGGCGAAATAGTGAGACTCTATCTCAAAAAAAAAAAAAAAAGAAAGAAAGAAATAGGTCAGGCATAAGAAAAGTACCAGAAATACAATAAAACTTTCTTGATTTTTACTGAATGGTGAAGCATAAAATGTCATACAAACAGGTAAGTTACTGCAAATTATACTTCCAATTCAAAGTGGAAAAACGAAAAACGGAAATATTTGTTAATTTCTCAACTCACAATCTCTTGAACCTAGAAAAGTTTAGCCTTACATACCATGGGAGCATTGCCAGGAGTCTTTCCCCCATCACGTCGTGATATGGAGCACGGAATCCCACTGTGAGTCCTTCAACTGGGAGCCGTACTTTGTTTTACTCAGTTTCATAATGGAAAACAGCTGTTCACAAATGTAGGTGCTCCCGAACATCGAGAGGATCTTTGCACAGTGGTGTCTGTATTTGGGGTAGCTACTCCAGAGGTATTTGTAGAATTCTGGTATCCCCACCTTGTCGTATTTCGTTTTCAGCACCGTGTTGCACTGTAGATCAATAACCTCCATCTGCAGTTCTTCGTGCACACTGTCGATCTTTATTGCAAACGGCGAGCTGAACAGTGTCAGTTCGCTTTCATAGAGTTTGAAGTCAGACAACCTTTTCTGGAATTCAGTCTTTAGTTCCACTATTTTAGGAATATAGTTCAGGCTGTCACTTTCATTTCTGGACACTGATTTCAGGGTAGGAAAGTGGGCCAGATTATTCCTTGCCAAATGCGTCTCCCACAGGCAGAGTTTTGCTAGGAATGCCCGGATCAGGTCGTACATTTGTGTAACGATTTGTGAGTGCCCTTGGAGAGAGATGTTTAGAGTGTTCAGATGCATTGTCATGTCAACCAAAAAGGCCAAGTCTCTGACCCAATCTTTGGAGCTCAGCTGAGGCAGGGGTTTTCCTCTGGATGACATGAAACAATCAATTTCTTCCAATGATTCGAAAAATCTCTTCAGCACCAGCCCGCGACTGAGCCACTTGATCTCTGTGTAGTACAAAAGGCTGCCATACTGGCTGTCCAGTTCGTAAAGCAAGGTGGTGAACTCGCTGTGGTTCAGTCCACGGGAGCAGATCCAGTTGACTGAGTTAACTACCACGTCCATGACATGATCCATCTTTAGCTTTTGAGCACAAAGTGATTCTGGGTGAATGATGCAACAAACGGACTTAAGTTCTGAGCCCTTACAAAACGTCGCCACCCTGGACTTCAGTTTTGTGACAAGCCCATTATTGGCATCGACCATTGTAGGAGTGCCAGTGGAGGCCACGCTTACTAATTTTGACCAGTCGATACTGAACTTTTTCAGACTTTTCTCAACACGCGAAAATATCTCATTTCCAGATTTTGTACCAGTCATGGGCACAGTGTCCAGAAGTTCTTCAGATACATCAAAATTCTCATCGACACCACGGATGAATATAGCCAACTGGGTGATATTATTTATATCTGTGATCTCATCAATTGCAATGGAATACGCCACAAATGATCTGATTTTTTCACGTAACTTCTCCCATAAGTTCCCAGCCACGTCTTCTACAGGTTGCGCAGCAGCATTTTCACTTGGACTCACACTTGCAAACATATGCTTTCGTTTGGGACACTCGATTTCGGATGACCCTAACAGATACTTTCTGAGCCCTTCTTTTAACTCATGGAGCTTCTCGTCACGCATCTTTTCGGTATATTGGTCATAGTGCTTGCTGTGGTTGGTTTGGTAATGGCGTCGCAGGTTGTATTCTTTGGACACAGACACGCTCTGTTTGCATATTAAACATGTTGGAATATTCTGCACTTCCACGAAGAAATATGCTCTCTCCCACTTTTCTTGAAACACACGGCCCTCTTGGTCTATCTTTCGTTTCCCCACTTTTGACAGAGACATGGAGACAAGAGATATTTTACTCATCTCCTAATTCTAATATTAAGAACCAACTACAGCAAACGCATGATGCTAAACACGAGGGGTACAGTGGCTGGGGCGGGGCAGGGGTGGGTAACAGTGGGGCAGCCCACTCCTGCAGGGAGAGATGGCTGACCCTCAGCTCCCTCAAGCTGCTGCTGTGAGAGAGCCTGGGCCCACCCTGGCCAGACCTTCAGATTTCTACAGAAATCCTGGAGATCGATTTTTATGAAAGAGTGCCTGGCTTTTTGATGTTGGCCACTAATGCCCATTTTAGAAAGGCATATGAGTGAAACTAAGGAGATCTTTGTTGGTGAGGGCTGGTGTGTAGCTGTGTTAGCTACTTCTGACTTACACAAGAATTTGACAGAATATCTGCATTTTAACGTAGATTTTCTCATTTGATTCCCAAGAGAACGTGGAAAGACAGACAGGAACAAGCACAAAAGGCATATGACAGACCTGCTGTGAGTCTCTCATGACATGGGTGGCAGCCACAGCCCTGCACGGAACTCACTGTGCATATCCATGTGTCAGTGTGTTCAAGTGAACGTGGGCCAGTGTTTTAACTTTAAAGAACCTGGCTGGGGCGGCCCCTGTGGCTCAAAGGAGTAGGGCACTGGCCCCATATGCTGGAGGTGGTGGGTTCAAACCCAGCTCCAGCCAAAAACTGCAAAAAAAAAAAAAAAAGAACCTGGCCACCAAGCAGGTGAGCAAGGCACTTCCAGAGAACACAGATATAAAAGTGGACAGAGTGTACTCTGTAAAATGTGTATGCAAATTACTATAGAGACAGTGGTTCCCTGGGGTCCAGGCTGGGCTAGGACATGACTGGTCATGGTGGAAGGAATCTCTTAGGGTGTGATAAAAATGTTCTAATAACAGATTATGGTGAAAGCTGCACAAATCTGCGAACTAACTAAAAATCATTGAATTGTACACTTAACAAGTAGATTTTATGGTATACAAATGATGCCTCAATGAAGCTATTAAAAATACTTTAAAAATCATTTAGCAACCAGGTGCAATCAGGGGTAATAATTGAGTATATGAAAAGTACATGTTAGTTTTCAAACTTTAAATTAGGAGGCTCATACTCTTGAGAATACCCCCACGTCTTGTTTTGCCCACCCTATCCTATAGGATGCTGACTTATTTATAAGGGCTCCAGGGAAGACACTGAACATATTAAACAGAGTGGCCCGGACTCTGCTCAATTACAAGAGATGTCAACCTCTGCACCGGAGGCTTCTGAGAGCCTCTGCTGTGCCAGGCTGTACCACTTTTGCCTCAGAACTGTAGGAAAGTCAAGTTGGGGAAGGGGAGTACCAGGGTGGGGCTGAGTGGCCAGACAGGCACTATCTGCCAACTAACACAGAGGAGTTCAGCATTGTGACCTTGAGGGTAGCCATATGGGTGGCCACGGGCCTTTCCACAAAGACCACTTGAGTCAGAGTGTGCTATATCACACGTCACACACGGTGTGGTGCAGATCAAGCCCCATCTACTTTGTATGAGAAAAACCTGGGATAATAAAACCTGGCCACAGAATTATAGAAAAGTAAAGTACCCATCAAAAACCACATGCTTTGCTCAAAGACTCAAGAAGCAAGAAGCCCACAGTGAGTGCCCACAGACACACTTTACACATCACAGCGGTGCTGGAATGTTCTTCTCACCACACAGAATACTCACCATTACTAAGCTCAAGTCCTGGAAGTGGTCTGAAGAGAAAGAGACATCGGTAAATGCAACAAAGCTCACATTTCCTCTTTTTTTTAATTTATAGTTTCTTGTCAGTATCACCTCTCTTCTCCTTTTAGTTCTACAAGCTTTGCTGAGTGTCAATTCTATGCTGAGTGCAGTGAGAGCTGAAACTGGGACGGGCTGCCCACGATCACTAGGAACGTGGACACAATTTACAAAAGCAAAAGACAATGAAATGAGGGTGAGAGGTAACACAGCCAGGGAACTACAGGAACCCCACAGCCCACCTCCTAGGGGAGAAATCCCTGGGGTGACACTTGTCCACCTCAGGCAAGTTACAATCTCTAGATCCCTTCTCATAACCAAGCAGGGCAGTTCTCACTTACCTAATAACTGTAAATTTGATGAACTCTGCTGCATCCAAGATCCTTCGCATGGAGCTGATTTCCAGGTAACCAGGGGCTTTGAATACCACCCCTGGGGGCATGCCGTCCACCACCACACAGCCAGGGTTGAACGTGATTTTCCTGTAGGGAACTTTCACTGGGAAATCCACACCAATTGCTTCACCTGTGACAAGATGAGGAGCATAAAACCAGTTGGGTTTGCCACTTACCTTTCCCAAACCATGTTTTATTTTTAATGCTAGGTTTTAAAATCATTCTCATCAGGCTCGGCACCTGTAGCTCAAGTGGCTAAGGCACCAGCTACATACACCAGAGCTGGTGGGTTCGAATCCACCCTGGGCCTGCCAAACAACAATGACAACTACAACCAAAAAATAGCTGGATGTTGTGGTAGGTGCCTTGTAGTCCCAGTTACTTGGGAGGCTGAGGCAAGAGAATTGTTTAAGCTGAGGAGTTGGAGGTTGCTGTGAGCTGTGATTCCATAGCACTCTACCTAGGGGGACAGTTTGAGGCTCTGTCTCAAAAAAAAAAAAAAAAAAAGAAAAAAGTCATTCTCATCAGATCAGATGAGATGCTTTATTTTCCAGTGGATAGGATGTATGAACATAATTTTATTTATTTTGAAATTGGTGTGAATACTATGGCAGACTCAGTTCCCCCATCCTACCTGAAAGGTTCTTGTGAGGATTAAGTAATTAAACAGATGCCAAAAACAAAAAATAATACTCACCCAAGATAAGAACCCAGGAAATCAAAAGACAGCTATTATTACTATTGCCATTAGTCAGTGCTTCCGTGTTAAAGCTCTTCAGTAAAAACACACACCAAATAATTCTGATCATAGCTCTTTCACAAAACATTAGTTTCTTATAAGATAAAGCATTCTTTTAAAAAGAAATATTTCAAGTATATCAATTCTGGATATGTAACAATATAAAAACTTACCAAATTTTCGGCTAAAGAGGTCACTGACTTGTTCTCTTAGTTGTTTAATCTTTTCAATGCTTGATAATCTTTCCTTTTCATTATCTAAGAACAATCAGATAAATAAACAAACCAGGGTTATTAATGTATTTTCTCCCAAGGAAGCTAAGAAATGCCTGTTACCACCAAAGAACGAACTTTACTTGACTTGTCATTCAGTTTATTTTAGTAATAATTAAGCACTTTAGAAATTTGCAAATGGAAGCCATTATTGTTAATAGAGAATTTTCCCATTTACACAGCCCTATATAAATCATTGAATTGTACACCTAATGCAAGCTTTTAAGGGGCATGGATTTTTAGGGTATATTTTCTTTTTCTTTTTTTTTTTTTT